ACGGAGAGATGTTGTCCGGTTTTCCCATTCCCCTTTTGGGGATCGATGCCCCTTTAGCATTTTCTTCACCTCCCTCATCTGTATGTATGTCGTCCAACACTTGTTGGTGTATTCCTTGTTGGTGTCCCCATTGGTCTGCCCCCCAAAAAGCCCCCTTCCCTGTCTCACTGTAAATTTTCCAAAATCTCGTGTTGAGCTCCTCACAACCTTTTTGATCGTTTTTGTGAGTTTTCCACCTTTTTCCAGCCTTACCCCGGGTCCTTGACTGTTTTTTTCCCCTCCTAATGGGCTTACAGGTTTCGGGTCAGATTTGATTTTCGATGCTTGTCGTTTTATATTGTGCTGGGCCCCCTCCTTATCTGCGCTTACTCTTTTCTGGCTCTTTAAAATCTCCTTGTTTTCCGGGGGTTTTCCCCCCCTATGCCCCTGTACCTTTTCCTTTTCTTGTTGCACTTGTTTTTGCCTCCCCCTACACCTTGGGGAAAACCCAAAGGACTCGTTTTGGTCTTCCTTTATTTTTTTTCCCCTTTGGGAACAAAATTTTTTCCTCTGCCTCCTTGCACTTTTTTGCCACATTTTCCTTTCCTCTTTACTGTTTTTCCTCCCTTTTTCTCTTCCCATGAACCTCCTGGGGAAGTTTCTCATACCGGGTTTTCCCCCCCTTTTATAGTTTGGCCTGCCCCCTTTCAGTTTCCTGTTACCTTCCCATTTGTAACTTACTTATAGTAAAAACTAAGAACCACGGGGGATCGAGCTAAGGGGGGGCCGAAGTATGTCCCAAATGTCTAAATTTGTCAGGGTGAACCACAAGTTCCAGTTTGCGGCTCATTCCCTCTCTCTTGGGTTTTGGGTCCCTACATTTTTGTTGCTGGGTTTTCGCCACCCCTCATTTGCCCCATTTTTTTGGGACCCCCTTGGCCCCTTTTCCCGCATTCCCCTGTGGGAAATCCCCAAATTCCCAAAAACTTTTTTTCCGGCTGATGACTCTTTTTCCCCCTCGCCATGTTCCCTCACCCTGTTGTTTTTTTACCCCCGGTCTGAGTTTGGGGGGGTTTAAACTCCCCCCTTCTTTTTATTTTCCGGACTGAATTTTTTAAAAAGTTTTTTTTTTTTTCTCCATATGCCCTTTTTCCTTTTTTCCCTAAAACCCCATTGGTTTTTTATGGCGGTGCACCCTTTTATCCTTTTTTTTCCCCGGATCGATATTGTTTTGGGAAGAAGGGAGCCCAGGATTTTGTTTCGTACTGCTATGAGGTTGGGGTTTTTTGATTTTTTTCATTTCCCTCATGTTTTATTTTATTATGGGGTTTGTGAAAACCCTTTAGTTTTTTTTATTTTGGGGTAAAGCGTAGGGGTTGGGGGAGGGGCTTTTTGGGTTTTGGGGTGGGGGTTAGGTGGGGTTTTGTTTTGAAATGGGGGGGCCCCTTTTTTCCCCAAAAAACCCCCCTTTTTTGGGGTGGGGTTTTTGGGGGTTTGGAGGCATAGTGGGTTTATTTGGTTGCCCCGTTGCTTGGAATTGGGGTAAAGTCTTTTGGGGGAGGATTCTGGGGGTTTTTTGCCCCTTCCTCCTGTGTTGGGCCCTGCTCATTTTCATTGCTTTTCTTCCCTTTTTTTTTTTCCCTCCTTTTTATTTTCTTCTTGTGGCCGGTCGAGGTAACCTCTGGTCCCCCCCCTTTGCCCCTTCATTTGTTTTCCTTGAGAATTTTAATTTCTTTCCTTGAAATTTCCTTGCCCGTCCTTAAACGAAAAACCCCATTCTCTAAAAATTTGTCACCTGGAAATTTTGCCCTCCCCATTGTTTTAAATTCCCTTCAAATTTTTGTCTCCCCCTGTTTTTTTTTCTTCAAATTTTTTTGGCCCTTGGTCTTGGGCCCCGTCCAAAAAACGCCCTGCCCCTTTCCCCCACTGATTTCTGTTCCTTGAATTTTATTTCCTTCTAATTTTTGTTTTCAGTCCCTGTAAACTGAAATTTTATTCCCTCATGCTGTCTTTTTTCCTGCACTTTCCCCTTGCTCTCCTTCTGTTAAACTCTCAAAAACCCTTCATTTCTCCCTTTTTTGACCGTTGAGTCTTTCCCCCTCCCCGGGGTCGGGGGTTCCAGGAGTCCCGTTTTGTCCTCCCCTTTTGCCCAAATTTTTTTTTTTGTTTCCTTTTCTTTTCTTTTTTTTTTTTCCTTTTCAAGACTGTATTGGGAAGATGTATAGAATAGAAAAATTTTTAAATTTAAAAAATTTTTTTTTTGGAGTTAAAGTTTTTTGGGGTTTAAAGATCCGGCCGAAAAGGAAAATTTTTTTTTTTTTTGGGGTTTTTTTTTTTTTTTTTAAAAGAAGAAGGGTAGAGGGGGGGGGGTGGGGGGAGAGAAAAAGGGGGTAAGAAAAGGGAGGGGGAGAAAAGGGAAAAAGGGGGAGAAGAGGAGAAGAAAGGGTTAAAAAAGAGGGAGGGGGGAAGAGTTTGGGTTTTTGGGGGAAAGACCAAGGGGGGGAGAAAGGGAACAGAGGGGGGAGAGAAAGGGAGAGGAGGGGAGAAAGAGGGGGGAGGGGGGAGGGGAAGAAAGAGAAGAAGGGAAAAGGAGGGGGGGGAAAAACCCAGAGAGAGAGAAATGGAGAGGGAGGAGAAGAAAAGAGAGAGAGGAGGGGGAGAGGGAATGGGATGAGGGAGAGAGGGAGAGAGAGAGGGGGGAGAGAAGGGGAGAGAGGGAGAGAGAGAGGGAGAGAGAGGGGAGAAGAGAGGGAGAGAGAGGGGGAGAGAGAAGGGAGAGAGAGAGGGGGGGGGGGGGGAGGGAGAGGGGGAGAGGGGAGGAGAAAAGGGAAGGGAGAGAGAGGGGAGGGGAGAGAGAGGGAGAAGAGGGGGAGAGAGAGAGGGGAAGAGGAAGGGGGAAAAAGAGAAGGGAGAGAAGAGGGAGGGAGAGTGAAAGAAGGGGAGGGGGAGAGGAGAGTGAGGGTGGAGAGAGGAGAGAGGGGGAGAGAGAGGAAGAGAGAGGGAGAGAGAGAGGGAAGAAAGGAGGGAGAGAGGAGGAGAAATGAGGGACGAGAGAGGGGAGAGAGGGAAAGAGAGGGGAAGAGAAGGGAGAGAGAGGGGGGGAAAAGAGAGAGGAAAAGAGAGAAGGAGAGAGAGAGGGAGATTGGGAGAAAAGAAGGGAGAGTGAGGGAGAGAGGAGGGGGAGGGAGAGAGAGAGGGAGAGAGGAAGAGAGAGGGAAGGAGGAGAGGGAGAAGAGAGAGGGGGGAAAAGAGAGAGAGGTAGAGAGAGGGAGGAGAGAGAGGGGAGGAGAGAGGGAGGAGAGAGAGGGAGAGAGAGAGAGGGAGAAAAGAGAGGGGGGGAGGAGAGAGAGGAGGAGAGAGAAGGGAGAGAGACGGAAGGGAGAGAGAGGGAGAAGAGAGGGAGAGAGAGGGGAGAGATAGAGAGGGAGAGAGAGAGAGGGAGAGAGAGAGAGGGAGGAGGAGAGGAGATGAGAGAGGGAGAGAGAGAGAGAGAGGGGATGTGTGTGTGTGTGTGTGTGTGTGTGTGAAATTTCACCTATTTTAATCACCTATTTGGGGTGCAGGGTCGAGTCACAGCTCCTCCCGCCTCTTCGCTTTTTGTATAGGTCCTCTCTTTCCTGCCCCATGAGCTCTATCTACCTGCCTTAAAATAGGGTATGGTTCCTGCCTCCACCACATCACTTTCTACCCTATTCCATGGCTGACTACTCTAGATGAAGAAACTTCCTAACTTCCCCTTTTGATCATCTGAGGTCTTAAACTTCCAATTGTAAACCTCTGGGTCTTGTCCATCTCTGGAACATCCCGTCTTTGCTCACCTCGTCTATTCCGCGCAGTATTTTTATGTGTTAATGTCTCCCCTGCCCTCCTGGCCCGTGTCGTCAGGCCGATTTCCCTACCTTCTTCATAGGACAATTCCCGTACTCTGGGACCTGTCTTGTTGCAAACCTTTAAACTTTCTCTAATTCTTGACGTGCTTGTCTAGGTGTGGTTTTCCAAACGGGTTTGCTGCATACCCAGTATGGGCCTGAGTAGATGGTGTACAGAGTTTTAAAAACAAATCCTTACTGAGGATCGGAACGCTATCCGAGGTTTGCCAGGGGCCCTTTTATGCTGCAGCGTTATCTTGATTGAGGTGCCCTCGGAGATATGCCTCGGTGTTAATTCTCACCCAGATTTTTTTTCCCCTTGAGTGGGGTTGCAGTCTTTGGCCACCTAAACTATTTTGTGTCTGCGGTCTTCTTTGCCTTCCCAATCTTCTGACTTTGCTTTGCAGGTTTTTTAAATTCAAGGAGCCAGTTGCTGGACCAGGCTTGTAGCCTGTGTGTGTGTGTGTGTGTGCTTTGTTTTCAGTCCACAGTGGATGTTTACTTCGACTCTAGATTATCCCTTGACTAACTGTTTTAAATATACTGGTATGCTTTGCGTACAGAATAAAAAACTTCAATAACACAGATCAAATTTCAGTTTATTTAAAGGGCTGAAGGGGTTTTACAATATTGGAAACTTGCCTGCCCACTCATAATGATGCTGACGCCTGTGCTCATACTCATGCTGACGCCTGTGCTCATACTCATGCTGACGCTTGTGTTCATACAACAATCTCTCTCTTACACAAGTCTGTTTTTTTATCCTTCAATGTATCGGGCCTTGTACATATATATTTTTAATGGACCTACACAGAGAAAGTTTTCCATAGGTGTCACAGCTGTTGTTTTAATAATAATAATAATAAAATAATAATAATAATAATAATAATAAATTTAAAAATAATAATAATAAAATAATAATAATAATAACATAATAATAATAAATAATAATAATAATAATAATAATAATAATAATAAATAATAATAATAATAATAATAATAAAATAATAATAATAATAACAAAATAATAATAAATAATAATTAATAATAAAATATTTAAAAATATAATAATAATAATAATAATAATAATAATAAATAATAATAAAATAATAAAATTGAAAGAGGTTATAAAGCTTATATTTGTTGTGACAGGAGCAGCCTGACCTACCTGACTGAGGAACTGAAGGACCCGTACAGGTAAGTTGAATTTGCTTAAGGTACCCGAGGGAGGGTGGAAGGGCCTTGATGCTGGTGAAAGGCTGTTGATACCATGGAATTGGAGCCACAGTTCCCCTTCCTTGGATCAAGCATGATTTCCTACCAATGAACAGGCGTTCAGTACTTCATCTTCAGTAATGATAATCTCAAGGTTGTGTGCGCGTGCACGCGTATGTGTGTGTGTGTGTTTGTGTGTGTGTTTTTTGTGTATGCGTTTGTGTGTGTGTTTTTTGTGTGTATTTGTTTTGTGTTTTGTGTGTGTGATGTGGTGTGTGTGTGTGTGTGTGTGTGGTGTGTTGTGTGGTGTGTGAGTGTGTGTGTGTTGGGGAACAGCGCATTCTAGATTCAAAAAATGACATCCACACATACACACAATACCTCTCCCCACACAATATTTCATACCCCACACCACACACAAAACACACTATACCTAAACACAATACATCAGTACACATAACCTTCACACACGCATTATCCCCCAACACAATACCTCCACACGCAATACCTTTGCACACAACGCCCAACATGCAGAACTCAGACACACAATACGAATTAGAATTTCAGGAATATGCAACAAAATAAATTGCATCTTGTTGCAGGACTATGCCGCGAGCCATCGCTATCTCAATGGGAATAGTGACAGTGATATACACACTCACCAATGTTGCTTACTATGCTGTCTTGACTCCTGCTGAGATCCTCTCTTCCAGTGCTGTGGCTGTGGTGAGTATATATATGCTGTGTCTTCTAGTGGTGTGGCTGTGGTGAGTATATATATGCTGTGTCCACCAGTACTGTGACTGTGGCGAGTATATATATGCTGTGTACTCCAGTGTTGTGGCTGTGTTTAGTATCTTTCAACAAACCGGCCGTATCCCACCTAGGCAGGGTGACCAAAAAAAGAAAAACAAAAGTTTCTCTTTTTAACTTTAGTAATATATACAGGAGAAGAGGTTACTAGACCCTTGCTCCAGGCATTTCAGTCGCCTCTTACAACACGCATGGCTTACGGAGGAAGAATTCTGTTCCACTTCCCTATGGAGATAAGAGGAAATAAACAAGAACAAGAACTAGTAAGAAACTAGAAGAAAACCCAGAGGGGTGTGTATATATATGCTTGTACTTGTATGTGTAGTGTGACCTAAGTGTAAGTAGAAGTAGCAAGACGTACCTGAAATCTTGCATGTTTATGAGACAGAAAAAAGACACCAGCAATCGTACCATCATGTAAAACAATTAAAGGCTTCCATTTTACACTCACTTGGCAGGACGGTAGTACCACCCTAGGCGGTTGCTGTCTACCAACCTACTATATATATATAAATATATATATATATATATTATATATATATATATATAATATATATATATAAATATATATATATATATATATATATATATATATATATATATATATATATATATATGTATATATATATATTATATATATATGCAGAACAACCACTGTGAAAAAATAGTGAAATTCCAAACTCATTCGTGATTTCTCACATTATCAAGGAGTTGTAAAAATAAAAGCTCAACAGAAAGGCATATAAGGACGAGACTACACTTCGTGGTCAACTTACAACACTTGACCTTTGATGATGTAGGTAGTGAAGGATCTCTCAAACACACCTTATATTCTACCCAAGCTTTAAGATTTTAACTTGTCTAATATATCTTAAATTCTTCCCAAATTTTATTAATTATAAATGAATGCAATTTGTATAATCCAAAAGCACTGTTCATTATAATATATATATATATATATATACATATATATATATATATATATATATATATATATATATATATATTATATATATAGCCAATGAACAATTAATTAACCCACAAACTGAACAACCAGATTTGTTACTTCTTGTCATTATCACTTGACCTTAATGGTCCAAGGACGGACCATTGTCTATTTTCTATTTTCAGTTAGGGAGACAAGTTGTGTAAATTTTCTCTAGTCCCTCTACAGTGACCTTTCATTTTACATAACATTTACAACTGACTGTACCATAAACATCAGTAGCATCCTCGCAGTTGCAGCAACATCACCAGTTTCTCGTTGGTTTTCAGACGTTCGGTAACAGGATGCTGGGAGTGCTGGCCTGGATCATAGCCTTCTTCGTGGCCTGCTCCACCGCTGGCAACACCAACGGTAGCATAATCACGCATTCCCGCATGGTGCACGCAGGGGCGAGGAACGGCCACATACCCCAGGTCCTAGCGTTAATCCACATTAAGCATTCCACTCCTGTCATCGCGGTGGTATTTTCGGTGAGTGGAAGATAGCACGTTGTTTTCTGCGACTTCCAGGAGGAAGTTATCAGTGACAAGACTTGTGTCGCTGTTTATTAGTGTTAATCTGAGTAACGACGGTGACTGAAAATGAGTCCTGCCAAAAACAAGCTTAATGGTAACACACACACACACACACACACACAACACACACACACACACACACACACACACACACACACACACACACACACACACACACACACACACACACACACACACACACACACACACACACATACACACACATACACACACACACACACACACACACACACACACACACACACACACACACACAACACACACACACACACACACACACACACACACACACACACACATGAGAATGGAAGAGAGGATAGATATGGAAAGCAGGAAGTGGGAGGTGCATGTCAAAGCAGCAGAAGCTAGGATACAGAGTTTAGAAGAGGAATTGAAAAATCTGAAACAGCCTAAAGAACTAAAGAACATTTTGGGATTGACAACAGAGACTGCTACCTCAGCCACAATAAGGGGACTGTAGGGAAAGAAGGGGCACAACTGCATGGAGATGCTCTATCAGAGGAGACTGTAGCAAATGAAAGAGCTAAGCTTTGTGTGGAGGCCCTAACAGACAACAACAGAGCCCAAGGAAAGCCGAGAAGGGAAAATGACAGGCCACTGAGCCCAAGTACATTAGCCAGTGAAACTGATGAAAGGAAAGCTGCAGTGGAGGAAACCAAATTAAATGAGGGGATACACAGGGATATGCAGTGGGAGAATGAAAGGGTGAGGTCAGTCTTTGTGTATGGGCTCCAGGAAGTCGAAGGGGAAACATATGAAGCAAGAAAACAAGGGAAAAAAAAAACAATTGAAAGCATCATGAAAGCAATAGGAGAAGACGATATGACCCAGCTGGAAAATTTTCGGAGAATAGGGGGGTTTGTAAAAAAAAGAACCCGGCCAGTGAGAGTGACCTTCAAGGCAGAAGCGACTCGGACCAGGATACTGCAGGAGAAAGCACGATTAAGGGACATGACGGCATACAGGAGGGTGTATCTCGACCGCGACAGAACACAAGAAGAGAGGAAGAAACTGAGAGAGATGGTACAAAGGCGAAAGGAGGAAAGAGAGGGGATGGAGAAGACAGACAGGAGATCCCAGACCCAGGAAGAAGATCTAATACAGCCTCCCTCACAACTTTCTATAGAAGCCTCCCAACCAGGTCAACCCCAGTGCAACCAAACACTCTAAATCAAAACACCCATGCCACATCCAATGCCCCCACCCACTACATTACAAACTTCACCCCCACAGCAACAACCATAGTTCCTTACCAGGTCTCCCACTTCCCCCAACCCCAATATACTTCCCAGACCACAGTCTTAGAAAAGAAGTTGAAGGTGTGGTATACAAATGCAGATGGAATAACAAACAAGTATGAGGAGTGGCACGAAAGAATCAAAGAGACATCCCCAGACATAATAGCACTCACAGAAACAAAACTCACCAGAATAATAACAGATTCAATCTTTCCATCCGGATATCAAATCTTCAGGAAAGACAGAGGGAGGAGAGGGGGAGGAGGAGTTGCACTGCTCATTAAAAACCAGTGGGGTTTTGAGAAAATGGAAGGAATGGATGGCATGGGCGAAAGGGACTACTTAGTAGGAACAATCCAGTCTGAGGGACATAAGGTGATAATTGCAGTAATGTACAACCCACCACAGAACTGCAGGAGGCCAAGAGAAGAATACGATGAGAGCAACAGAGCAATGATCAACACACTAGCCGAGGTGGCCAGGAGAGCACACATGGGGGGAGCAAAGTTACTAGTTATGGGTGATTCAATCACAAGGAGATTGACTGGGAAAACCTGGAGCCCCATGGGGGTCCCGAAACATGGAGAGCCAAGATGATGGATGTGGTACTGGAGAACCTCATGCATCAACATGTTAGAGACACTACCAGAGAGAGAGGAGAGGATGAACCAGCAAGGTTGGACCTTGTATTCACCATGAGTAGTTCGGACATCGAGGGTATCATGTATGAAAGGCCCCTGGGAGCTAGTGATCATGTGGTTCTGTGCTTCGACTACATAGTTGAGCTCCAATTGGAGAGAGTAGCAGGAATTGGCTGGGAAAAACCAAACTACAAAAGGGGGAACTACTCAGGCATGAGGAACTTCCTTCAAGACATTCAGTGGGAGAGGGAACTGACAGGAAAACCAGTACAAGAAATGATGGACTATGTAGCAACAAAATGCAAGGAGGCAGAGGAGAGGTTTGTTCCCAAGGGAAACAGAAATAATGGGAAGAACAGAACGAGTCCTTGGTTCACCAAAGGTGTAGGAGGCAAAAACTAGGTGTACTAGAGAATGGAAAAGGTACAGAAAACAGAGAACTCAGGAAAATAAAGAAATCAGCCGAAGAGCCAGAAACGAATATGCACAGATAAGAAGGGAGGCTCAGAGACAACATGAAAATGACATAGCATCAAAAGTAAAGACTGACCCGAAGCTGTTGTACAGCCACATCAGGAGGAAAACAACAGTCAAGGACCAGGTAATCAGACTGAGGAAGGGTAATGGGGAATTCACAAGAAACGACCGAGAGGTATGTCAGGAGCTCAACACAAGATTTAAAGAGGTATTTACAGTGGAAACCAGTAGGACTCCAAGAAATCAGAACAGGGGGGCACACCAGCAAGTGCTGGACGAGGTACATATAACCAAGGAGGAGGTGAAGAAGCTGCTATGCGAACTTGACACCTCAAAGGCGGTGGGACCAGACAACATCTCTCCATGGGTCCTTAAAGAGGGAGCAGAGATATTGTGTGAGCCATTAACAAAGATCTTCAACACATCATTTGAAACTGGGCAACTCCTGAGGTATGGAAAATGGCAAATGTAGTCCCAATTTTTAAAAAGGGAGACAGACATGAGGCACTAAACTACAGACCTGTATCTCTAACGTGTATAGTATGCAAGGTCATGGAGAAGATCATCAGGAGGAGAGTGGTGGGGCACCTGGAAAGAAACAAGTGTATAATTGACAACCAGCACGGTTTCAGGGAAGGAAAATCCTGTGTCACAAACCCTACTAGGTTTTATGAAAGGTGACAGAGAAAGACAAGAGAGGAGGGGGGATCGACTGGTATTTTTGGATGAAGAAGGCTTTTGAAAGTTCCTCCAAGAGGTTACTGCAAAAGTAGGGACCGACACACATAACGGGAAAGGCACTAATGGTCAGAGATTATCTGCAGGGGGGGAAAAAACGAGTCGGGTACGCGAGGGGTGTCAGGGGGCGCCTGTGAAAAAGGGGGGGGTTCCAAGGGGTCAGTCCTGGGACCTGTGTGTTCTTGGTTACGTGAACGACATAAGGGAAGGGTAGACCGAATGTCTTGTTTGCAGACATTTAATTTTAAAAAATCGAAGGACGGGGAAAGGAGGACTAAAAGAGATTGGACAGGCTAAAAGCCTGGTCCAGAAAATGGTCTTAAATTTTAACCTCCCAAAATCAAAGTATAAATTTTGGGGAAGGGAAAGAAGCCCCCCGACCAAATATATTTTAGAGGCCAAAGACTGCAAATATAAGGGAAAAAAGATTGGGGGTGAGTATAACACCGAATATTCCTGAGGCGCACATCAATCAGATAATGCTGCAGTGGGCGCCTGGCAAAAATAGGATGCTTTCCGTCCCCTCAGTAAAATCGTTAAGCTCTGTACCCATTAGTCGGCCATACGGAGTATGAAGCACCAGTTTGGAATCCCACTAGTCAAAACGCAAGAAATTGAGAAAAGTGCAAAGGTTTTGCAACAAGACTAATCCCGAGCTAGGGGATTTTCTATGAAGAAAGGGTTTGGGGAAATCGGCCTGACGACACTGGGGCCAGGAGGGGCAGGGGGGGACATATAACGCATATAAAAATATGGCGGGTAGACAAGGGGGACAAAGACGGGGTTTTTTCCCGGATGGGGCACAGACACAAGAGGTCAACAATTGGAAGTTGAAGACTCAGATGAATCAAAGGAATGTTAGGAAGTATTTCTTCAGTCATAGAGTAGTCAGGCCATGGAATAGCCTAGAAAGTGATGTGGTGGAGGCAGGAACCATACATAGTTTTAAGGCGAGGTATGATAGAGCTCATGGGGCAGGGAGAGAGAGGACCTAGTAGCAATCAGCGAAGAGGCGGGGCCAGGAGCTGTGACTCGACCCCTGCAACCACAAATAGGTGAGTGCAAATAGGTGAGTACAAATAGGTGAGTACACACTTCAGATAAGTAAAGCAAAATCATTCTGACTAGTAGTTTTCAGTGTATGCAGTGATCTTATGATGCTTACATTGGTTTCATTGATCTTACTTACGGTATTTACAATAATTGTAACTTATAATGGTTTCAGTGATCTTGTTTACAGTGGGGGCACTGACTTAAATTGCTTAAACTGTTACACATAATTTTTTTAACAATACAATTAGTTTACATGACATACAGTAACTGCAGTGATCTTGTATTTGTCGTTGACAACGGGTGACGTAATTTTACATTGCAAACAACGGTTTCGTTGATCTCACAACGTGTACAATGGTTGCAGGGGCTCATCCCTCTAGCACTGCTGACCGCAGACAACGTTGGAGGCCTCCTCACCTACACCTCCTTCACCAATAACCTGACTAACGTCGTCTCGGTCTTGGGTCTGCTGTGGCTCAGGTACAAGGAACCAGACCGACCCAGACCAATCAAGGTAGGATTAAGTCATGTTTGCCAAGGAAGCATACAAGTCATATATACACTCTGTAATATTATATATATATATATATATATATATATATATATATTATATATATATATATATATATATATATATATATATATATATTATTATATATATATATATATATTATATATATATATATATATATTATATATATTTTATATATATATTATATGCACATATACATACGCATACATATATAATGAAACTCTGGAGGTGAAATCTCAACAGCAGATTTCTTCTTAGGATTAAAGAAAGTGTGACGGAAGCTACTAGGAATTAAAACATGTATGTGATGCGGCTATAAATATATACGATACAGTTGCTTAAGCTGGGACATTACGAGTGTAGGTTCAGTTCACCGTAACTGCAAAAGGTAATTACACCTAAACATACTTATTCCAGATCATATTTGTTATTCTCGCAGGTGTGGCTGGGCTTCCCCATCATTTACCTGTGTGCTAGCGTGTTTCTGACAGTCATGCCCGTGGTGCGCAGACCAGTGGAGATTGCCGTCGGTCTGGGTGTCATCGCTCTTGGAGTGATCGCCTACTACCTGACTGTCTACCTGGACGCGAAGCCAAAATTCCTCACACGCTTTATGGGTGAGTTCTGATTGTGTTGTTCACTCCACATGTAGGATACTCCAGTTCCCCACAAAATGTAGTTTACTCCAGTACTCCACAACATGTAGGATACTCCAGTTCCCCACAAAGTGTAGTTTACTCCAGTACTCCACAACATGTAGGATACTCCAGTTCCTCACAAAGTGTAGTTTACTCAGTACTCCACAACATGTAGGATACTCCAGTTCCTCACAAAGTGTAGTTTACTCCAGTACTCCACAACATGTAGGATACTCCAGTTCCCCACAAAGTGTAGTTTACTCCAGTACTCCACAACATGTAGGATACTCCAGTTCCCCACAAAGTGTAGTTTACTCCAGTACTCCACAACATGTAGGATACTCCAGTTCCCCACAAAGTGTAGTTTACTCCAGTACTCCACAAACATGTAGGATACTCCAGTTCCCACAAAGTGTAGTTTACTCCAGTACTCCACAACATGTAGGATACTCCAGTTCCCCACAAAGTGTAGTTTACTCCAGTACTCCAAAACATGTAGGATACTCCAGTTCCTCACAAAGTGTAGTTTACTCCAGTACTCCACAACATGTAGGATACTCCGTTCCTCACAAAGTGTAGTTTACTCCAGTACTCCACAACATGTAGGATACTCCAGTTCCCCACAAAGTGTAGTTTACTCCAGTACTCCACAACATGTAGGATACTCCAGTTCCCCACAAAGTGTAGTTTACTCCAGTTACTCCACAACATGTAGGATACTCCAGTTCCCCACAAAGTGTAGTTTACTCCAGTACTCCAAAACATGTAGGATACTCCAGTTCCTCACAAAGTGTAGTTTACTCCAGTACTCCACAACATGTAGGATACTCCAGTTCCTCACAAAGTGTAGTTTACTCCAGTACTCCACAACATGTAGGATACTCAGTTCCCCACAAAGTGTAGTTTTACTCCAGTACTCCACAAATATGTAGGATACTCCAGTTCCCCACAAAGTGTAGTTTACTCCAGTACTCCACAACATGTAGGATATCCAGTTCCCCACAAAGTGTAGTTTACTCCAGTACTCCAAAACATGTAGGTACTCCAGTTTTCCCCACAAAGTTGTAGTTTCTCCAGTACTCCACAACATGTAGGATACTCCAGTTCCCCA